AGCCCAGGAGACTGGAAGCCCAGATGAGTAGGGTCCCTCCTGGGTGCCCCAAGGTGGGACATGGTGGGTGGCGCCGTGCCCAGTGCCAGGTCCCCTGGAACACAGAGGCAGCCTGCTGATGACCTGGCCTCTGCCAGCCAAGGCTTCAGGCAGCCAACGCACTGTCCACACTGCACCGGTGACACACTGGTCTCCACACCAGCAGACTGCACACCCCTTTCTGGTTGAAGCTACCTGGTCAGAGTCTATTCTAGAAAGAGGCAGTGATATGGGGACCCCTGTCCTTTCAGCGATGAACAAAGAGGGCTGCCCCCACCTTCGTCCCCATCACCATCCTCTGACCCGGGCAGACCTGGGGTTAAAAGAGAGCCGTGGTAGGGGGCAGGGATAGCATTAGGAGATATACCTAATGTAAATGACGAGTTAATGGGTGCAGCACACCAACATGGCACATGTATACATATGTAACAAACCTGCACGTTGTGCACATGTACCCTAGAACTTAGAGTATAATAAAAAAAAAAAAAAAGAGAGAGAGAGAGCCGTGTGGCCTGGGGAAGCTGCTTCGTCTTGCCCTGCCTCAGTTTCCCCAGGGTGGGTTAAATAGTGGCCCCCAAAAGATGTGCCTGCTTGCACCCTCAGAATGGGACCTCATTTGGAAACTGAGCCTTTGCAGATACGGTTAAAGTAAGGATCTCACGATGAGGTCATCCTGGGTCAGAGTCAGGGTGGGCCCTAAATCCAACGCAAGTGACCTTATAAGAGACAGAAAGAGGTTCCTCACTGGAGGAAGAAGACAATGTGAAAAATAATGACAATTTTTTTTTTTTTTTTGAGATGGAGTCTCACTCTGTCACCCAGGCTGGAGTGCAATGGCATGATCTTGGCTCACTGCAACCTCTGCCTGCCTCAGTGCTTCTCCTGCCTCAGCCTCCTGAGTAGCTGGGATTACAGGAGCACGCCACCAAGCCCAGCTAACTTTTGTATTTTCAGTAGAGATGGGGTTTCACTGTGTTGGTCAGGCTGGTCTTAAACTCCTGACCTCAAGTGATCCACCTGCCTCGGCCTCCCAAAGTGCTGGGATTACAAGCATGAGCCACCACACCCAGCCAACAATGTTTTTAAGAGAGAGAGAAAGAGGCTGGGCGAGGTGGCTCACGCCTGTAATCTCCAACACTTTGGAAGGCCGAGGCAGGAGGATCACTTGGGCCCAGGAATTAGAGACCAGCCTGGGCAGCATCTCTATAAAAAATTGTAAAAAACAGACAGAAAGTAGAAGACACAGAGACACAGAGGAGAAGGCGGAGATGGGAGTGGTGCAGCCACAAGCCAAGGACACCTGGAGCCCCCAGAAGCGGGAATAGGCAAGAAGGACCTTCCCCTGGAGCCCTGTGCAGAAGTTCGGCCCTGCCCCAGCCTTGACTTCAGATCTCTGCCCTCCAGAATTGACAGTCAATGTGGGCTGTTTGAAGCCACACAGCTGTGGTCATTTGTCACAGCAGCCACAGGAAACTCATCCACATTGGAAAACAGGAAAATGCTTCGCACAGGTTTTATAAGGATGAGGAAAACTCTCCCAGGGGCCTTGGCACACGAAGTCCTAGGAAGCAGCAGCTGCTCACTCAGCAAACTCCAGCCCCTGCATGTGCTGGGTGCGGGGCCCCGGGACAGGGGCTTGGCCTCTCTGCAGCTCAGCCCTGCTCCAAGGCCAGCAGGCAAGGGTGCAGGCAGACAGTGCTGTGGGGACAGAGGAGGACGGCGCTGAGGCTGACTTCACCACACAGCAAGATGAGCCGGGGCGAGGGCAGAGATGGGGGCGTGCCAGGTGGAAGGAACCGTGCGAGCAGAGGCCTGCCTGTCAGAATATGTGCAGAGCTCTGGGCAAAGACAGGTGCAGGAAGTGGGGCAGAGCCAGGGGAGCAGGAGAAGAGATGAGGCTGCATCCGGGAAGGGGGGTTGCTGAGGGCCAGGGGCTGGGGGGTGAAGGGGCTCGGAACACAAGCAGGGGAGCCGTGCATGGCTCAAGCAGGGGTTTCCATGGCCTGACACTGAGGTCTCCTGGGTGCAGCAGGTGACGTCCAGGTAGGAGGCAAAGGGGTCTGAATCCCGGCCCAGGCAGGATGCACGGGGCCAGACCCCAGCACTGCCTGTGGCACTTGGGGTGCCCCAGCACAGAGTATAGTCAAGCCCTCCTCCCTGCCATGGGCTCCCTGCCCATGCCTCAGTTTCCCCAGGCCTCCCTGGAGCTGTTGCTGTAGCACTGTAGGAATGCAAAGCAAAGCTAAGGACCCTCCTATCAGCCTGAGGCCTCCTGGGCAGCCATTCTCAAGAGACCGTGTGCTGGGGGCCCACCTGGTGTCACCTCGTGCTGGACACAAGACCCTGACCCCTGAAACTGCAGTATCCACCCCCCCACCCTGTCCTGGGGTAGCTGGGGACCCTCTCAGGCCTGAGGGGAGGACAGGAGCTCCCCAGCATGAGGAGCACGCCACTGCAGGGTTGGGGCCAAGCAGGGCGAGCTCCCAGACAGGCTCAGCTGGCCCTGGCCCTGGCCCTGGCCCAGCCTCCCCGTGCCCAGCCTGTGAGGCCGCCCTTTGAGCTTCTGGATTAGTATTCACGCCGGGTCCCCAGCTCTGAAAGCCCTTGTTCCCTCCAGAGAGCAGCCAGGGCGGCTGGGGCTGGGGGGATGCTCAGTGCAAAGTGACAGCCCCAGCCATACACTGGGGCCCTTAGCCTGCTCCCCCAGGACCCCTCCTCCACTGTTAGGGCTGTCCATGGGCTCAGCCAAGGCTGGGGGACTGGGAGGGAGGCCCGTCTGTCCATCTCTCTGTCTCTCTCTCTCTCTCTGAGTTTGTGTCTCTGTCTGTCTCTGTCTCTTGGGGTTCTTGGTCTCTCTCTGTCACCAGCTCCCTCCTCCCTCCATCCCCGTCTCCTATCCTCTCGTGCTGCTTGCAGTCAGGGGCCGGGAGTAACTCCACATGTAGTTTCTCCAACAAGAAAAGACACACGGGCCAGGCACATGGCAGCGAATCTCCCGTGACATCTCCCTGCACCACCCGTCCCTGTCGGGGTCTGTCTTGACTCTGAACTGCCTGCAGACCTCCCCACAGCCCCCACAGTTGGACCCCAACAACAAGAATAACAAAGGCTTGGCTGGGAGCAGTGGCTCACGCCTGTAATCCCAGCACTTTGAGGCCGAGGCGGGCAGATCTCTGGGGCCCAGGAGTTTGAGAGCAGCCTGGACAACATAGCAAGACCTACCTGCATCTCTACAAAAAATTTTAAAAAATTAGCCGGGCGTGGTGGCATGCACTTGGGAGGCTGAGGTGGGAGGATCACCTGAGGCCGGGGAGGTCAAGACTGCTGTGAGCTGTGATTGCACCACTGCACTCCAGGCTGGGCAAGGGTGAGACCCCATCTCAAAAAATAATAATAATAAATAACAAAAGCTATGTTGATGGTGCCCATGGCCAGGCGCACGCTGGTCAGGCCAGCTTGGGGTTTCTGGGCCTGAGTGGCACCGAGCTCAACCGTGTCCCCGCTCCAGCCCTGTGTCCTCAACTCTGAAACATGGTTCTAAGATGGACGGGATTTGCCATGAGGGGGCATCCATGGGCAGGGATGCAAACAGTTGGTACACAGGGTCCCAGAAGGTTTCTGACCTGGAGGCCGCCCTGCCCGGCACCTGTGGGTCACACCGCTTTGGCGGATGCAGGGATCCTGAAGGCCTGGTGTCTGGTGATTTGGCCGGGCGCCCACCCAAGGCCACACCACGGACCATGGAAACCCCCTCGGAGTCCTCAGACGTGCCTGGCCCCTGGCTTGGCCAGCAAGGTCGCCAGGGAGGCCCAGCATCCCTCGGGGTCCCGCCCTGGGAAGGAGCCTCCAGTGAGTGCGTGGGCTGCGCTGGGCCAGTCCATGAGGCGCATGAGGGGCCCCAGCTCTGCAGCCAGAACCCACGGCCGAACCCACGGCCGAACCCACGGCCCAGCAGCTTCGTCCAAGTGGCCAGAGCTGGCCTGAAGCAGCCGAGACCCTCCTGAGCCATCACCTCTGCCTCCCACATACCCAGAGCTGGGGTCGGGGGTGAAAATGAGGAGGGAGCCCCTGCTCCTTGGGCGTCTCCAGCAACCCCAGCCGCACAGGGGATCTCGGGTATCGAGGAACAGCCGGCGTGCCCAGGACGCGCCCAGCTCCCTCTTGAGGCTTCGCTGCCTGGGGTGGCTGCGTGTCTGGACTCTCGGAGGTGCCTGAAGAAGCCCTGTAGAAGCCGGGGTCTCCAGTGCCTGCTGCGGTGCACACCCACCCAGCCTGGCGGGGCTCAGGGAGCCTGTGGGGCCGGAGACCTAGGCAGGTCCCCAGAGAGCCAAGTGCCTATTAATGGGAGCTCTGGAAGCAGCCCCCTGGTGAGACAGCTCTGGGGGTGCCACGAGCACCCAGACCTTCTCAGTGCCTCCCATCCCAGGAAACCATATTATATCCCGGCCCTGCCCTCCTCCTCCAAGTGCCACTGTCACCAAGGAGCATCTAGTAAACCTCCAAAATCTCTCTCAACTGCCCGCCCCACCCAGGCCGGCTACAGACTCCCCGGCCTCCACACACCCCCTTCCAAGCCACTTGCCCCCAACAGGAAGCCTTTCAAAGACCATGTCTCACCACTGCCAGCTGTCAGCTGCGTCCCTCGGCTCTGTCTGCCCCAGCCTCACATCCCTAGTTCCTACCTCCAGAGTTCCTCTGCCTACGAGGCCCCCTGCACCCCCAGCTGGGCCTCCTCAAGTCGGATGAAGCCCCAGCCTCCTTCAGGGCCATGGCCCCTCACCACCTCTCCCGGGCTCCAGACTCCATCCTTTCTTCACTGGCCTCCTGGCCTTTGCCCGGGCTGTGCCCTCCATCTGCAGCAGCGGCCTGGATGCCTTCCACCCCACGTTTAGGCTTCAGGCCCCACGGCTGCCTCTTCCCAGAACCCTCCCGGCACGCACTTCGGCGACTCTCACAAGTACCTGTTCAGCATCAGCCTTCGCCCAGGAGTACAGGCTGGGGACGAGGGCAGCGGCCGCCTCTGCCGGTCCTGTCAGCACCTAGTGTGATGTCCAGCCCACCATGGGTGCTCAACCCGGGCGGCTGTGCTGCCGCAGGTCACAGCACCAATCAGACACCCCCATCCCCACACACACCCTGCACCGGCCCACGCGGCCGTCACACTCGGAGCACACACACTCTGACGCGGCTGCACTGTTGGTACACGCACAGGCGCACACACCCACACGCACAGGCGCACACGTGGGGGCACGCACGCTGGGGTGCCCTGACCTCCCCGCACGCCCTCCTGCCACCGCCCCGGCCTCTGTCCCCACGCGTGTCACACACGGCCGGGCGTGCTTGCTCACACCGTCCCACGACGTGGTTCCAGCCGGCGCCCGGAGCTCGATCAGGAGAGCTGCTGTTGGCCGCCTCTCCCTGCCAGCGTTTGCCAAGCGGTTTCCATGACAACACATCTTGGCTCCGACAGGAACCAAGGAGTGTGGGGAAGAGGGTCCCCACGGAGGGGGCGAGGCGAGGCAGGAGGTCTCTACGTCTTCAGGCTCCCGGCAGGCATGGGGGGCTCCACAAGTGCAGACACCCCCCCAACCCCAAGCCAGGCTTGCACCCCGAGAAGGAGGCTCTGGGATGGTCCCTCTGGGCTCCCTGGCACAGGAACTGACTTAGGTCACTCAGTCATTCAACGAACTTTCTGGAAGAGCCACTCTGTGCTCGCAGCTGGGGCTGCGATGCCGCCCAAGACATGGGCTCGCAAGAGGCTCAGAGTCGAATCCTGAGGTTAAACTGACGTCCCCGCCACCCCACTGAAGGCCCCATCTAGCAGGTTGGCCCGTGGCTCCCTAAGCCCCAAGGCCCACCAAGCACCTTCTCAAAGCGGGGCTCCCCTCTGTGGTAGATCAATTACAAACATGACCCCAATGCCCCACTCCTTCCTGAATCACCATGCCCTTTGCCGTGTGACTTTGCCCCAACTCCTATCTAGAGGTGGCGTCTACTTCCCCATCCTTCAATCTGAGCCTGTCTTATGACTTGCTGTGGCCAATAAAAGGTGACAGCAATGACATTCCCAGTTCTGAGCTTAAACCTCCAGGGACATGGGTGCCTCTGCCTGCTCTCTCTGACTCCTGCTATTGCACAAGAACAAGCTGGGCTGCTTTGCAGGAAGGCAAGAGGGCGATGGAGCCTGGGTCACCCTAGCTGAGGCCATCCAGGACTAGCTAGCTCCCAGCTGCCCACAGATGTGTGAGTGAGCCCAGCCAGGACTAGCCAGGCCCAGCAATGAGCAGCAGTGCCGCCTGGTCCTTCTTTAATACTAAGGAAATGTGAAGTCATGTGTTTGGAGCTATTTGTTACTCAGCACTAGCTAACTGATACCCCTCTCTCCAGGGCCCTGAACAGCAGCTGCCCCACCTCAGCACAGGCCAGAGGCTCTAGAAGTTCCCGGGGGTGCTGAGAACCAGGCCATGGGGAGGGCTGGATTCCACTGGCTAACAGTGCCAGAGGGTGCCAGGGGCAGAGCTTGTGGGAGGGGGTTCCCGTGTCAAGTCCATGGCAGGAGCTACTGAAGCAGAAGCATGACTCTCCACTGCCTTTCTTTGCCTTGGTTTTTCCCCCTGTGAAATGGGCCCATCACCCTGTCTTGTCTCCTGGGGCTACCTGGTAAGGTAGTGTGTGTGGCAGCTGGAGGCGGATCAACTATGTGCCAGTGCTGGGCTGCAACCTAGGGATAGAGGCCCATGGCTGCCTTCTAGGGACCCACAACTGAGAAGGTGGCATCACTAAGCTCATCTCACAGACTGGAAACCGTGGGGAGAGGAGGTCGGCTTGCCTGAGGCCCAGGACACACAGAAGCAGGCGGGCGTGGCCACAAGCCCCAGCTGGGTCTGAGCTGGTTGTTATCTTCATGTTTTTCTCCCTGTGGTCACCTTTTTGGAAATATCGTACTTCCTGAGCTAACTGCACTTACGAGGTAATGATTGGTGCGAGTTTATAGTCTCTCTCTTTTTTTTTTTTTTTTGAGATGGAGTCTCGCTATGTCGCCCAGGCTGGAGTGCACTGGCGCAATCTCGACTCACTGCAAGCTCCGCCTCCCAGGTTCACGCCATTCTCCTGCCTCAGCCTCCCGAGTAGCTGGGACTACAGGCGCCCGCCACCGCATCCGGCTAATTTTTTGTATTTTTAGTAGAGACGGGGTTTCACCGTGTTAGCCAGGATGGTTTCGATCTCCTGACCTCGTGATCTGCCCGCTTTGGCCTCCCAAATTGCTGGGATTACAGGCATGAGCCACCGCGCCCGGCCTTTTTTTTGTTGTTTTTGTTTGTTTGTTTGTTTGTTTTTGAGACAGTGTCATTCTTTCACCCAGGCTGGAATACAGTGGCACGATCTCGGCTCACTGCAACCTCTGCCTCCTGGGTTAAAGCAATTCTCCTGCCTCAGCCTCCCGAGTTGCTGGGATTACAGCCACCACACCCAGCTAATTTTTGTATTTTTAGTAGAAACGGGGTTTCACCATGTTGGCCAGGCTGGTCTTGAACTCTTGACCTCAAGTGATCCACCCGCCTTGGCCTCTCAAAATACTGGGATTACAGGCGTGAGCCACTGCGCCCGGCTCACTCCTTTTTTTGAGACAGAGTCTCACTCTGTTGCTAGGATAGAGTACAGTGGTGCAATTTTGGCTCACTGTAACCTCTGCCTCCCAGATTCAAGTGATTCTCCTGCCTCAGCCTCCCGAATAGCTGGGATTACAGGCACCCGCCACCATGCCCAGCTAATTTTTGTATTTTTAGTAGACGGGGGTCTCACCATGTTGGCCAGGCTGGTCTTGAACCCCTGAGCTCAAGAGATCTGCCCGCCTCGGCCTCCCAAAGTGCTGAGGTTACAGGCGTGAGCCACCGCGCCAGGTCCCGCAGTCTCTTTTCACCAGGCACGGTGGTTCAGTGTTACCGCCTGGGGTAACTGATCCCACTGTTCAGTTGGGAGGCAGCTGATCCGCACTGTTCCCCCCGCTCTGAGTTCCCCCAGGCCAGAGCTGAGAGCCAGGCTCACCAGATCCCTGCAGGAGGGCCTTGTATCTGAGTCCAATTTTCCTCCAGCACGAGGCCTGGCATTTAGTTACCTGCTATCTTGTCCGCTGTTCAGTGTTCTTGGCCTTTGGATATTTCGCCCCGCGTGTTTCATTGTCTTCAGGGAAATGGCTGGTCCAGGCACCCAGCCTGCTGTCACCGGGAAGGGACATGTGCCCTGAGACGGGGCTGACGTCACTGTTGCACCCTGGTGGGGCACACCAGCCCACGGCTGTGCCGCCCGGGAGGTGCCCTTCTGTCGGAGGGCATTTGCCAAAACCAGCAATGGTTCTCATTCCGTGGCCTCGTGGGGTCAGGAGGAGAGAAGTCAGGGCCAGTCCTGCCCAAAATGGGGAGCATTATAGAAAACCTTTCCTACCTTAAGCTGAAAACCTAAAGGGCTACACTCTTAGGGTAAGAATGAATCGGAATTAGCCCTGCTCCCTCCACAGGAAAGACACTTGGTGCTAAAAGAAGCAAAAAGAAAAAGTTCTTGAGAAGTTAGGGCAACAGGTCTTCTCCAGCACAGATTTGAGGCCCAAGAATGCAGAGAACTCCAAGCACTCAATGCGTTGTTTTGACACAGGGTATCTCTCTGTCACCCAGGCTGGAGCACGGTGGCGTGATCATGGCTCACTGCAGCCTCGAACTCCTGGGCTCGAGCAATCCTCCCACCTCAGCCTCCCAAGTAGCTGGAACTTCAGGTGCATACCACCATGCCCAGCTAATTAAAAAGAAAAGAAATACACCAGGTGCAGTGGCTCACGCCTGTAATCCCAGCACTTTGAAAAGCCACGGCAGGTGGATCACCTGAGATTAGCAGTTCGAGACCAGCCTGGCCAACCTGGTGCGACCCTGTCTCTACTAAAAATACAAAAATTAGCCAGGTGTGGTGGTGGGCGCCTGTAATCCCAGCTATTGGGGAGGCTGAGGCAGAATTGCTTGAACCCAGGAGGTGGAGACTGCAGTAAGCCGAGATCACACTATTGCACTCCAGCCTGGGCAACAAGAGTGAGACTCCATCTCAAAACAAAAAAAAATGTGTAAAGATGGGGTCTTTCTATGTTGTCCAGGCTATTCTCAAACTCCTGGCCTTAAACAATCCTCCTACCTCAGCCTTCCAGAGTGCTGGGATTACAGGCATGAGCCACCGTGCCCAGACCTTTGGGAGGCCAGTATGTTTGGTTTGCAGTGGCCTCCAGTGGGTAATGCCCCAAATTACTCCTCCCTAGTGGACTCTACTTTCATCCTAGGCCTCAAAGAATCTCTCCATCAGCATTTTTCAAAGCCAGTGAGCAGCACATAGTTAAAGATGACCAAGAACACAGGGAAACAGGGCACCATGAGTGACCTGCACAGGCTTCAGACACGAGGATGGTTGTGCACTGTGCCAGACACTGGGGTGGTTGTGTGCGGTGACCAACACTGGCCAGGTGGTCCTGTTGACTTGTTTCCAGGCACCCGGCCTAACCACAGTCCCCAGGATCCTTCATAGCTGGGCACAGCCACACGGCTCAAATCTGGACGATGGAATGTGGGTGATGATGACAGGAGCAACCTCCAGTCCCAGCCCATAATATACTCTCAAAGAAGTTAGTTAAAGAGGGCCAAGTGCAGTAGCAGCATTTTGGGAGGCAGAGACGGGTGGATGACCTGAGGTCAGGAGTTTGAGGTCAGCCTGGCCAACATGGCAAAACTCCATCTCTATTAAAAATACAAAAATTAGCCAGGTATGGTGGCACGTACCTGTAATCCCAACTACTCGGGAGGCTGAGGCAGGAGAATC